CATGCCAAATGTTAGGATGAATCTTGTCAACACGACGATTGAATCGGTTGTGCCAACCTAAAACAGAGTAGAATGGAATCATAAAAAAGATAGAAGTGAGATCTCACCTTCGCAATTGTTATTAGTGCGCGTTTTTAAATCAGAAACGTTCCATAAAGACATTGATATTTGTTTCATCCAATAATTATCGAAATAGTCGAAAAGTGGTATAAGAACATCTGGACGTTGTTTAACAACTTCTTTAAATGCAAATTCCACTTCATTTAGTGGAAGAAGAAGTAAAGCCATCAGACATCGACAAATGTTACGAACATTTAGATCATCTTTGTATTACATAAAAAGATTAAGTTCCTGAATCTTTCTGTAAATGGCTTGGCAGAAGTGGGAAAAACATTCGGTGTGACCAACACCAGAAAACTAGAAACTAAATGATGAGCTCATAATATCTTTAAGAAATTGCGTACCTGTTCTCCTAATGGTTTCACAAGTGCCTTTTCAAAATCTGTCGTAATTTGATTAGGTAAAAAGTGCATTTGAAGGCGCGCGGCCTCTTCTTCTAGTTGTTTAAACAATTCTTTGTAGACTGAATCAGAGCGACCGGTAAGAAGTGCGAAGACGCATGGAAAACCTTTAGATTATTCATTAGAATGCGAAAAAATGTAAGTTATCATTCACTCACTCTGTTTGTATTTAATAGCGTGAAGTGTGTATATTTGATTGAAGAATGCTGGGCATGATGAAAATGTGCCATCCATTCATGTGTTTTGTTTTAAAAAGTATACGTAGTTGATCATCAGCAGCAAATATAATGATTCTTTTATTTCGCCGCATTTTATCATAAAGTAGAAAGCGTTCGCCTTTGATTGTTTGAGCATAAAGAGTAGGAATATCGAAATGGCATGTTTTTGGAAGAACAGGAGTTTCACGACGACGAATTCGATTTAACGATGACTCTAAAAGATGCCAGATCAGATCAAGAATGATAAAAAAACAATTACATACTTGCATCTTGAGCTGATGGAACTATACTTAGAGCAGTTTGACTTAATTAAGCTCTGGCTAATTCTTCATCGTAAATACGGCTAACTGGTGTAGCTTCAGCAATTATACGTTGTTTTATATTAGATTTAAATTTAAGAAGTTCAATGTGTTCTGGCGAAGATAAATGGCTTGAGTGATCAGCTATTCGTAACTTGAATTGGTCGTTGATGTCAGTATGAATAATAGCAGCGCAGAGATGATTTTCACATCTCCAGTATTTGACCTTGGCACATGACTTGTTTAAGTGATATGCAAAACTATCACAGATAAGTACACGCTTGCCTTAATTACTTTCTGAGAACGTAATTGTAGGCGTGCTACTCATGATGATATTCAGAACAAAATAAGACACAAATAAAGAGAAATTTATGACAATCAATATAAGCTACTATATATACACATTTTATTAATTAATCATTATTGTTAGATCCTCTTAAGGTAACAGTCAAATTCATAGATAAATGAATAAGCTAATTAAGAGATAATTGTTCTTTTATCTCCAGCCGATAGAATATCTTTTCAATGGCATTTTTTGATATTTCTCTTTTCCTGCTTTTTTTTCTACACTTTTTCATTCGACAATCTGCTTTTCTACATTTTTTATTTCTGCAATATGCTTTTCTGCGTCCTGCTTTTCGACATTTTGTCTTTCGACATTTTCCCTTTCGACCTTTAACCACCTATTCGTACAGATTGGTCCGGATTTATGGTTCCCAATTATAGCTATCAGAAGCTGAATTTATTTGCCTTCTATTTGATACTGTTTTCAGATGACGAATTGATGGTGTTAGTAAAATTAGTAGTTTCAGACGATCTATGGGAGGAGAACACTGAGTGATAGTCAGAGACATCAATGAAGAATCGTTTATAGTTGAAGAGGTTGACGGTAGGATAGAATCTGTCATTCATAGTACAATCTTCTATGACCAGTACTCGCAAGCGGGAGAATCGATGAAGAATCTTGACATATTCGGTATAAGTGCAATCACCAATTTCCAAGTGCTCTAATGCACACTGATCTGGGCATGATATTTCTGTCACAGTATATGTGCAATTCGTCACGTATAACTTCCGAATATTCCATTTTGTGAGTGCCAATGATATGAATGTTGGCGTTCTATGGAGCCGCTCCTTTGCTTCTATTGAACGTGATACTAGTGAGTCAAGTTTCAGATTTTTAAGAGTATTTCCAATGTCATCATCAGACTCTTCATGATAAGTCGATGAAAGTAGCTGGTTAAATTCATAATTTTCATAGAATGAGTGATGTGCTTTAAATCTACTATTTTTTCTGCGGTTACCATAGTAATCGGCATCTTTGACAATGGAAATACTGAGTGAGATGACGCTCTCGAAACGACTGAAACGAGAAATTAACTTCAGTTCAAGCGGTGACTGTGAATCGAAAGTGAGCTTAAAGCGGCCATAGGCTTCAACTGTTGCACAGAGTCGTTTGCAGGTACGACGAACCGAAAAAAGAATTGTTCTCATATCACAATGATCGAAAATACGATGAACTCATGCTACAGGAAAATTCAGCAACGAATAGGTGGTTAAAGGCCGAAAGAAAAATGTTGAAAATCAAGAGGGTGTGGGGTGTGGGTGTGGGTGTGGGTATGTGTAGGATGTGGGGGTGGGGGTGTGAGTGTGGAAGTGAGATACACAGACAACTAACACCTACAGCCATACCCACACCCGCACCCACATCCAGACCCACACCCACACAACCACAACCTCCATTATAAATTGTGTTATTATGTCGATGTAGCTTGAGTCTATGAAATTTAACGGTTGAGATTTGTTTAATTCATGGAACTATATATTTAATATTTACAGGGATTTTTGAATAAAATTTCATATACATTTCTCCATTATTAGCTTAATTTTATAATTATTCAATGATGGTATTTATTTGCTGATTGTCAAGTATAAAGGTAAAGAAAAAAGACATGCTCTTTTCGTTTCGAAGAATTATATTAGATATATCATTAGAAATGCTTCTCGAACAAAGGCTTGAAAGAACTTGAATCATGAAGCATGTGTGGGCTTTAATACAGCAGATGAATTCGCAATCTAAAAGAAGTATACAAATTTAGAAAATTTCGAGCATTTCATACAAGGGAGAATATTTAGTTGAAATGGAAACAGACTGAAAATAATTTCACTTCATGCCACAGTTCATAGTTATTGCTATGAAAATTCACAGGAGCGAAAATTCTAAATAACTATAGTCGATCAGAAGAGAGGTAAATGCTTTCTTTCAAACAAAACAAAGAAGATTTATTTAGATAAAGGCTATCTCATTTGCATGTCTCATAATAATTCCTGAAATGCGTGTCATTTATACATGAAAATAAACTTCAATCCTGATCTACATAAACTGTTTCAAATCCCGATCTTAATCCTTACAGAGATTGTTGACTATCTTGATGCTATTTCCACATTATAAGACCCGAAGTCATTTGGTTTTGAAGAGAACTTCTCTAAGATGCTCACAACGCTATTGTTGTCCCAGATTTTCTGCTAGACTCACCATACCGAAGCCACGAGGTTTAATGTGTTCTATTTACCGAAATATTTCAAGAGTATGCCGAAATATATTTACATTTATTAAAACAGCAGTAGTTGCAGCAAAACTAGTATCTGCTTATAAATCTACGTATGAGTGTGATCTACACAAGGGAGAAAAGCGAGACTTCACTTGTACTTCCTCTGCACTCACCTGTACTTCACTTGTATTTCTACTTGTACTTCACTCATACTTCACTTTTCTTCACTCCATTTCACTTATACTTCACTTTTATTTCACTGGAATTTCACTGTACTTCAAGCACAATTTTGAAGTACGAGTGAAGTACGGTGAAGTACGAGTGAAGTACGTGAAGTACTGAAGTCACACTTTTCCCTCTTGGATTTATCTGTACTATTCGTTGGTACTCTTGCTCACGAAAAATGCTATCAGAACTTATATCATCAATTTATTCTCGTCTCTTTCAATGCTACTTCTATAGCTGGCAATGCCACCAACAAAATATTAATAGTATCATACAGGACCCCGACTAGTTGGAGAAAGGCAATGAAAGCATCATGGATGGTCAAATGTTGTGTAGCTGTGATGATGACAATATTTTTGATCTTTTTGATCTTCAAGAGGTGCAGTTTTATGAGCTGAAAAAAAAACGAATTGTTCACTCATTTGTTTCTTTATATTATTTTTCAGGATACAGAATCATCTGACGATATGTTTTCATTCAACTAATTGAAAATAACTTCGAGATAACTAAAATATGTTTTTTACGATTTTATATTTTATTATTTTTTACTTTTTGTGCATTCAAAAAGTGAGTACACTATAGAATCGGTCGGTGTGTCTGGTCATCCGTTCGTCCGCTTACATGATAACTCTTAAAATGGTAGTCCGAGTGTGATGGAATTTTGCAAAGAGAGTCGTCTCATCGATATCTCGGTCGAGTTCAAAGATGAGAATGATTCGTCAAGAAATTGCTGAGTTATCGAAAAAAATGTCATTGCTTCCTATGCTTTTCTATACGAACATTGACCTATCCCGATTTTCGTAAAAAAACTTTTTCACTCCTAATCGCACAAAACTTCAGCTATTATATACCATTCGATAGAGAACTTCACTGTCTTCAAGATGGTGTTATGATCTGTGTTGTTAATACGAAATCATATTGTTTTTAGGAAACATCTTCTTTGCTTTTTCTTCTCTTTGTTCATTTTTCTCTTCTCTTTATTCTTTTTTATTATCTATGGAGGTCGCATTTTCATTTTTCTTCCCTATGCTATGAAAAAAATTATGAGCGTATGTTTTATCTAAAAAGAAGAATTTTAAAGAAAAATATATAAAGTCAAGTTTGGACCTTAACAATTGGCGACCCTGGCAGGATTTTCAATTAAACCTGCATATTTGATTTGTTCATGATTAATTTAAAATTTTTATGAAAACACGTACTAAATTTGATTTAAATAATACATCAACAGCTGCTCTTCATTTTACATCTTGTCGTCGAAAATCAGCAAAACAAAAACAAGAATCATCTATTTCTCTAAAATCAAATTCTTTATCTACTTCTGATAGTTTTCATCAATATTCAAAATTATTTCCGATAATGTCCGAATTAGATGATCTTTTGGAATTAGAACAAATAAAACTTAAACAATTACAACTTGAAACTAAAATTTCATCAAAAATTCCTATATTTAAATCATCACAAGAATCTAATGTTACTGAGTTTCTTACTCAAGCAGATGATGTATTCAACAAATTGAAATATTCTGATAATATTCGACTTAAAAAATTGAAGAAAAATTAGATGTTTCATTACAGTCGTGGTTTACCAATTTTAAAAAGTATAGTATATTCACATGGAATGGTTTTAAAAATAAATTACAAAATTGCTTACTAACAACTTCATCATCATCATTTTAAAATACAATAATTGATAATAAAACATATGAAACTAAAACATCGCATCAAAGTAATTTTGATAAAACAGCATTATTATTGGATGTACTTCGTAAAGATATAATTTCCTTTTTCTAGTGATGGAAATGCTAATCAATGGTTTTTACACATTGATGCAAAATTTTCTGAATTACAATTATTATTCCAAGATCGAATTGAAATTTTGTCATATTTTTTCATTGCTGAAACAATTATTTGGTACAGTTTAAATAAAAATAAAATACGACGCTATACTGATTTTTGTCAATCATTTGCACTTGAATATTTTCCAAAAGAATATTCAATCGATTGTTGTACTTCAGTGGAACAAAAGAATAATTCATCATCATTACCTTCACCTGTTGTTGTTAATGAACATTTCGTTCACTATCCTATCGGTGGTGCAAATGTTAAAATAACATCATCTGATTCAAAAAGTGTTCTTTCATCTACATCTATTTTAACTCCAATTATATCTAAAGCATTGATCGATCGGTTCGTTAAAGATCCTATTAAATTCTATGGAGAAAAAGATAATGTAATTACCTGGCTTGATGAAATCGAACAATAATTAAAAATTATGAATTTGAGTGAGTCAGATAGATTTAATTTAATTCATATATGTATTAAGGGAGAAGTACATCAATGGTATAAACAAAATAAAGAACAATTTACTTCCTGGTCGATATTTGTTACTGATATAACCAAATCATTTACATCATCTTTACAACGTTATTTAGCATTCAAAAAATGAAAATAATATCACCAGACATTACATCAATCTGTGTCACGATGGTATTTCGAAAGGATTAAGTTAATGAAGCAAACAGATCCTCAAATGAATGAATCAACTAAAGTACAATACCTTATGAATGGACTTCGACCATCCCTTATCAACTGAAACGAGAAGAAATTATCCAACGACTACACAAAATTTTTCAGAACGAGCTAAAATCGCCGAAGAACTTACTGCATTAAATACAGCCAATACATCCGATTCAATAATTGATTATGATTTTACACCATCTGCTTCTTTGTTACATTCAAATTCATCTAATTCAACGTCAAGAAAAAATTCCAACATTTATTCTCGAAATTCAAATAGAGATAACTATCATTATAATAATATTAATTTATCTAATTCTTCGAATCAACCACGTTATATTAATATAATTTACGATCAAACACCTTATAATTCACTTAAAGGTATTGAACTTTCTCATTTATATAATAAAGGAACTAGTATTCAATCATCACAAAATTCTCAGCAACCACAGCAGCATTATAATAATAGTCATAAAAATAATTTTTAACAATATCAGCAGTTATCATTTCAACAATGTTTTAAATATGGATCTTTAGCTCATTAAGCACGTCATTGTCACCATTTCGAAAGGCGGAGTCAATAATTGATGGCATTGCCTCCGACAATCAGCATCAATATCCATCAACTTCTCTTCTTTTTATTACTACTTATGTAAATGATCAATATTTGAATATCATGATTGATGCTGGAGCATAATATTCATTTATCCATGAAAAATGTTTCAAATCTAATGATCAAATAAAAAAATTCTAGTACGCAACATCAAAAATTTTTCTTAGCTGATGAATTAACTTCGTTTATAGTTACAGGCACTGTTAATTTAAACATTCATGTAGGTCATATTATAACAGCTATTTCAGCATTTGTAACCAAAAATTTATGCGCATATCTTATACTTGGTATGGATTATCTTTCGAAATATGATGTAGAAATTCAAGTAAAGAAAAAAAAACAATTATATTTAATTTCAATAATCAAAAGATCATGCTCCCTATGAGTACAGTACAAAAATCATACATGTCAAACCTGAAAATTGAATTTAATTATTGAAAGTTTACTTCAACTATTCAATTATCCAATTGTTCCTATTTCGAATAGTTGAAGTTCAACGATTCAATTATCCAATTGTTCCTATTTCGAATAGTTGAAGTTCAACGATTCAATTATCCAATTGTTCCTATTTCGAATAGTTGAAGTTCAACGATTCAATTATCCAATTGTTCCTATTTCGAATAGTTGAAGTTCAACGATTCAATTATCCAATTGTTCCTATTTCGA